GCTGTCCTACTACTACTACTACTACTACTACTACTACTACTACTACTACTACTACTACTACTACTACTACTTCCAAAGCTGTTTCTCATTTTTTTAAAGTCTATAGAGGTAAGGCAATGCCTAACACTAATAGTTTAATAGTTCCTCTGCTTTCCCTTTCATCCTCATTCCAAAATTTACATTTAACCACTTCTCTGTCCCTTTCTGTTTTCAAACAGATGAGAGTTCGACTCTCTCCAAATCCTGTTGACTGTTGACCTGGTCAGTCGGGTCGTCAGTTCTCAGTTCATGTTTGCTGTTTGTCTGCACACACTTTCTAAGGTTGTTTTTATTTAGATCTAGGTTCAGAGGCCAAGAGGTGACATTCTCTTTGGCTAGAATACTATGTGAAGTGTTTGAAATTTAGATTCAAGGATTTAAAATTGTGTTTTTTGTTCTCCGAACTCCACCAACCGGTCAAGTGTTTTTGCGTGTTCTGCTGACATTGTTGGTTGTGTTGAGAAGACGCAGATTATTATTGCAGTACAATGATGGCTCATATGAAAACAGTATTGTTTCGTCGGTCAGCCCTTGCTGCTAACCAAGGTTTGGGGAAATTCAGAATAAACAAGCTTTTAGAGCATTCACAGGTCCCATGTGCCTATCTTTCTACTCTCAAGGAAGAAAGAAATCCATCTGGAAACAGTGCTTTGCAACAAGTACAAGTTGATGAATGGAGTGGAAACGAAAGGGAAGGAAGTAAACGAAAGTCACACATTTCAGCTCTTGCTCTGGCCGGTTCAATTGGAGTGGGTAAGAATTTGATGCCAATTTATTGCTTACATTATAAGATCTCAAGGCTAATCTGCATGATGATGTTTGTTTAAGTCTTTAACTTTAACTTTAGAAACGAAGTGACTATTCAGAGTCCGAATATGGATAGAATCTGTCTATCCAGATATCTAGATCTATATCTAGATCTAAATCTAGATATATTAGATCTAGATCTAGACTCTAGATCTAGGTCTAGATCTAGATTAGATCTAGAGACAAAAAATTTATTATAGAGATCAACGAACTCTGATTTAGTCCAACATGACATCCGTTCCGACTTCTGACACTACTAGATATATAGATCTAGATCTAGATCTAGATCTAACTTATAAGTGAGGCAGCGTGGTAGAATCAGGCTCTCGTCAATTTTTGGGCATGTAGAGTTATATTGGTGTCATCTTAAAGCTTATTTACTTGTCTTTATTTGGATGAAAAAAATATCCATTTATCTTGAATACAAGTCGAGATATTTTTGCAAAGAAGGAGGTGGGGGTCACCTGTTTTCACAGAGGTAAAATTAGTGAGAAAATGGCAGCCAACATTTATTTATTTCCTTTGCTTTATATATATGAGTCCGTGGTAACTGAAAATTAACATTTTTGTGCATTTAATCAATGCTTTTCAGAAAAATCAACACAGAAATGAGTTCTTTAATGGGCATGAAAATGAAAGGTGTTGAGCCAAAAAACAAAAATTTGATAAAAATTCACGAACCTGCAGAAAGATGCAAGTTTCTTCACTTTGATTATTTTGACGAGAGCCTGATTCTGCCATGCTGCCTCACATTAATATTTCATG